AGCACAGAAGGTAACACACTCAGAAGCACAGAAGGTAACACACTCAGAAGCACAGAAGGTAACACACTCAGAAGCACAGAAGGTAACACACTCAGAAGCACAGAAGGTAACACACTCAGAAGCACAGAAGGTAACACACTCAGAAGCACAGAAGGTAACACACTCAGAAGCACAGAAGGTAACACACTCAGAAGCACAGAAGGTAACACACTCAGAAGCACAGAAGGTAACACACTCAGAAGCACAGAAGGTAACACACTCAGAAGCACAGAAGGTAACACACTCAGAAGCACAGAAGGTAACACACTCAGAAGCACAGAAGGTAACACACTCAGAAGCACAGAAGGTAACACACTCAGAAGCACAGAAGGTAACACACTCAGAAGCACAGAAGGTAACACACTCAGAAGCACAGAAGGTAACACACTCAGAAGCACAGAAGGTAACACACTCAGAAGCACAGAAGGTAACACACTCAGAAGCACAGAAGGTAACACACTCAGAAGCACAGAAGGTAACACACTCAGAAGCACAGAAGGTAACACACTCAGAAGCACAGAAGGTAACACACTCAGAAGCACAGAAGGTAACACACTCAGAAGCACAGAAGGTAACACACTCAGAAGCACAGAAGGTAACACACTCAGAAGCACAGAAGGTAACACACTCAGAAGCACAGAAGGTAACACACTCAGAAGCACAGAAGGTAACACACTCAGAAGCACAGAAGGTAACACACTCAGAAGCACAGAAGGTAACACACTCAGAAGCACAGAAGGTAACACACTCAGAAGCACAGAAGGTAACACACTCAGAAGCACAGAAGGTAACACACTCAGAAGCACAGAAGGTAACACACTCAGAAGCACAGAAGGTAACACACTCAGAAGCACAGAAGGTAACACACTCAGAAGCACAGAAGGTAACACACTCAGAAGCACAGAAGGTAACACACTCAGAAGCACAGAAGGTAACACACTCAGAAGCACAGAAGGTAACACACTCAGAAGCACAGAAGGTAACACACTCAGAAGCACAGAAGGTAACACACTCAGAAGCACAGAAGGTAACACACTCAGAAGCACAGAAGGTAACACACTCAGAAGCACAGAAGGTAACACACTCAGAAGCACAGAAGGTAACACACTCAGAAGCACAGAAGGTAACACACTCAGAAGCACAGAAGGTAACACACTCAGAAGCACAGAAGGTAACACACTCAGAAGCACAGAAGGTAACACACTCAGAAGCACAGAAGGTAACACACTCAGAAGCACAGAAGGTAACACACTCAGAAGCACAGAAGGTAACACACTCAGAAGCACAGAAGGTAACACACTCAGAAGCACAGAAGGTAACACACTCAGAAGCACAGAAGGTAACACACTCAGAAGCACAGAAGGTAACACACTCAGAAGCACAGAAGGTAACACACTCAGAAGCACAGAAGGTAACACACTCAGAAGCACCCATATTCTCAATGCCCTAGTAAAGTCACTTACCACCCACCTTACTGCATCTCCTTCCCTTCCCTCAATGCACCTTATGCCCACCAGCCCAACGCCCTTCCAAGGCCTTTTTTCAAGCCAATCACCACCCATCTTTCCCTGAAGCACTCACCACCTCCCACCCTCATGAATATCCTTCCCTTGCTACACCACCATGCCCACCAGCCTTTTGCGGCGCCTCAGGCAGGGGCAACACACTAAGCAGTAGGGAGGCACAGCACTCACCACACACCCTCCTGAACATATTTCCCTCGCCACACCTCCGTGCCCACCAGCCCAGCGCAATTCCCATGCCTTTTCTGAGGCAAGCACAACCCACCTTCCAGGGTCACTGAAGCGCTCCCTCCCTCCCCACCCACCAATCCCAATGTCAAAACTCACCTTCCTGAATCTCCTTCCCTCGCTACACCTCCATGCCCACCAGCCCAGGCTTTTGATAACTCAACTGCACCCCTCAGCACCACCCACCTTCCTGCGCCTCAGAAGGCAAATCTTGAAGCACCACCCACCTTCCTGTTTCTCCTTCCCTCGGCACACACACCTCCATGCCCACCAGCCCAGCGCCCTTGTCAGAGGCGCACATCACCCACCTTCCTAAATCTTTGAAACTCCCACCCACCATCCAATATCCATCACCCACCATCGACCAGCCACCCGAATTTCAGGACTCACCTTCCTGAAACTCCTTGAACCTCAGAAGAAAAACACTTAGCACCGCCCACCTTCCTGGATCTCCTTCCCTCGGCACGCACACCTCCATGCCCACCAGCCCAGCGCCCACCACACCACCCAGGCTTTTGATGACTCAGGTGCAAACCCAAATGTCAGGGGGGGAAAACCCCATCACAACCCACCTTCCTGGATCTCCTTGCCTCGATACACCTCCATGCCCACAAGCCCAGCTCCTTTCCAAAGCCTTCTTTGAGGCAAGCACACCCACCTTCTAGGATCTCTCTTGCTCTCACCCCACACCACCTCCTGAATTTCGGAACCCACCTTCCTGGATCTCCTTGCCTCGATACACCTCCATGCCCACCAGCCCAGCGCCCACCACACCACCCAGGCTTTTGATGACTCAGGTGCAAACCCAAATGTCAGGGGGGAAAACCCCATCACAACCCACCTTCCTGGATCTCCTTGCCTCGATACACCTCCATGCCCACCAGCCCAGCGCCTGCCACCCGCTTCAGCATCCCCCTTAGTGCGCTCTCCGGTATAGTCCATGGGTGCGCCAACACTGCCGCCCCCCCTGCCTCGTTTATGACGCGTATGGCCTCAGTGACAGGGATCTCGGAGCCCCTGGGATGAGAGACAAGTGTGCAGAAGCGGTGGGAAGGTGTTGGCTGCTCTTACTGCTGCACTGCCTCACTTATAACGCGTACGGCCTCAGCCACTGGGATCTCGGAGCCCCTATGGGGAGAAATGGCGTTGCAAAAGGGCAGAGGAGGATACAGGAGTTGACTCCTCACTGGATTATACCTTCTACCCTGCCTGGCCCTCGCTTATAACGCGTACGGCCTCAGCCATTGGGAACTCGGAGCCGCTGCGGGGAGAAAAAGGGGGGTGCAGAAGGGCAGAGGAGGACACAGGAGTGGCTCCTCCCTTGATTCTACCTTCTGCCCTGCATGGCCCTCGCATTAACGTGTACTTGGAGTCCCTGAGGGGAGAAAGAGGGGTGCAAAAGGGCAGAGGGGGACACAGGAGTTGGGCCCTCACTGCATTATACCTTAAAAACTGCCTGGCAGGCTGGCCCTTGCTTATAACGCGTATGGCCTCAGCCACTGTAATGTTGAAGCCCCTGGGGTGAGAAACAGGGTGCAAAGGGCAGACGGGGAAGACGGAGGGCATCAGATCCGATCAGATCGAATCAGATCAGATCAGATCGAATCAGATCAGATCAGATCAGATCAGATCAGATCAGATCAGATCAGATCAGATCAGGTCGAATCAGATCAGATCAGATCAGACCAGATCAGATCAGATCAGATCAGGTCAGATCAGAGCCCAGGAAGGAAAAACGGGTTGGCAAGTGTATAAGGGCAAGAGCCCCACATGCCTCACATGCCTCACATGCCTCACATGCCTCACATGCCTCACATGCCTCACATGCCTCACATGCCTCACATGCCACGTGATAAAAGAATTGTTTTGAGACGTCTCAAAACAATTCTTTTATCACGTAACTATATTTTTGCTGGTTCCTGTAGATTCCTGTTAGCGTGGAGGTTACCGTCCCGCTTACGCCAAAGATTGATACAGTCGAAGTTGCGACCTGCCGCAGCGATCCATCCGCGTGACAATGTGGTTACCCCACATCTTTGACCTCGGTTACAAACCACCCTGAAAACTCCAATTTTGTCTCCTCGGGGTTGGGTTGAAGCTGTCTGCTCGCTTCGATGCCTCATCTCACATTCGCCTTTCATTTCCGACATCGTCCTGGTTAGCCTAGCTGGATCGTAGAGTACTTTAGTCAGTCTGCTTCCTCTCAGATCTTTAGTCTCAGGCTTGTACTGATGAAGGCTTTTCAAAGCCGAAACCAGTTTACACAATGTTCTGATTCTATAGTGAAGAGTTGATTCGTACTGGCTCTCTAAGAAACGTTCTCAGCTAGCGCAGCACCAGGCTCCTTTCTACCATCGTCATCTCATGGGGTTTGTTTCTCTGTCCTAAACAACAAGAGATTGATGGAAATAAGGCCTCCGCAGCCCACCTGTTCGACTTCCACAGCTCACATGCCCCACATGCCCCACATGCCCCACATGCCCCACATGCCCCACATGCCCCACATGCTTTACACACTCACGCACTCTCGCACCTCACATAAGCCGGCTTATGGTCCCCTATGTACTTCTGAAACGCCTCTCCCACCCACTGCCTGCACTGCCTGCACTGCCCGTACTGCCCGCACTGCCCTCACTGTCATCCCCACGGTGAGTCCGCTCCTCTTTCCTCCCTCTTCTTCTCTCACTCGCACCTCACATAAGCCGGCCCATGGTCCCCTATGCACTTCTGAAACGCCTCCTCCATGTCCCCCACTGCCCGCACCGCCCGCACAGCCACCACTGCCCGCACAGCCACCACTGCCCGCACTGCCACCACTGCCCGCACTGCCACCACTGCCCGCACTGCCACCACTGCCCGCACTGCCACCACTGCCCGCACTGCCACCACTGCCCGCACTGCCTTGTTGGAGTGAAAGAAATGCGCTTCCCCCGATGCAGCATTGAAACGCCCTGCTCCCAAGCGCTCACCTCACATACGCCGGCCCATGGTCCCCAATGCACTTCTGAAACGCCTCCTCCATGTCCCCCTCTGCCTGCACTGCCAGCACTGCCCGCACCATAGTGGTGGCTTGAGTCTCACTCTCTCTCACTCGCACCTCACATAAGCAGGCCCATGGTCCCCTATGTACTTCTGAAATGCCTCCTCCATGTCCCCCACTGCTCGCACTGCCCGCCCGCACTACACAACCCTGCTCTCAAGCATGCACAATTACACACACTCGCACCTCACATACGCCGGCCCATGGTCCCCTATGTACTTCTGAAACGCCTCCTCCATGTCCCCCACTGCCCGCACTGCCACCAACGCTCTCGCCACGTGCACCCTGCCTGGTGCTGTCTTGGGATCGTCCAGTTGCTTGAGGGGAAAATGAAGGGGGATAATCAGGGAAAGGGGAAAGGGGCGGAAGGGGGATTACAAGTGCTATTAAGCCCCCACTGCTCGCTCCGCCACCAGCGCCCTGGCGACATGCACCCTGCCTGGCGCCATCTTGGGATCATCCAGTTGCTGGTGGGGAAAATGAAGGGTGGGAGATTGGAAACAGGGGGAGAGAGGGGGGTCAATACGCATAGCCGGGAGAAATGCAAGTATCTGCCAGTCACTCCCAACCTGGCACTAATTCAGCAAGAGAACTCTCCCCCAAGTAAGATAGCCCAACCTGCCACTGATTTGCGCCAACCCAAAAATCACAAAATTGATACCGCTTCAATTTCCCTCTTCCAAGATTGTCCATTGTTCCAACCACCATAGGTCCATAGGTACATCCCCCATTCCATCCCCCCATGCCATCCAATAGAGCGATTCCAATATCTGCAATTTGAACTCGATAATGCCCCAACCCATCCCATCCCTCACCCCCCTCACCTGAATCACATCTGCCAAAGTCACACCCACACCCAGCTGCTGCAGCCGCTGCACCATGCCTGCCTGTTTGCCACCTCCCTTGCACACCAACCAGCTCTCTTAAGTCCACCGTCTATCGTACCCTCTCTGTTCTCCTCCCACCCAACCCTCGTCTCTAACCTGAGTCACATCCGCCATAGTCACGCCCACGCCCAGCTGCTGCAGCCGCTGCACCATGCCTGCCGCCCGCATGTGCCGCCCTTCCCTTATCCCCTCCAACACCCCCACCAGCTTTTCAAGTCCATCTCTTGCCTTGCTCTCCCCTCCTGCAGTGCCCTCCCCTCCTGCAGTGCCCTCCCTTCCTGCCTTATCCCCTCCTGCACTCCCAACTACACTCCCAACTGCGCTCTCTGTGCCTTCTGCTGCGCCCTCTTCACCCTCTTGACATGCTGACTTAACTCCTCGCTCCTCCTCTTCCTCTCCTCCATTCACATCGTCACTGACTCGCTGCTTCTTCCCCTCCCCCTCCCCTCCCTCCTCTCCCTCCTCCCCACCCTCTCCTTCCTCCTCCCCTTCTCTCCCCTCCTCCCTTCCACATCCGTCCCCCTTCACCCCCCTCCGCACACTCTCCCACCTCTCTCGCAGCCCCAAGGGAGGAAAGTACCCCAACACATGCACCCCTTGACCACCCCTCCCCTCTCTCACCCCCTCTACCTCACCTTCCCTCCTCGCTTCGCCTCCCCTCTCGACCCCTCCCCTCTCGTCCCCACCTCTCTCCTCCCCTCCCTCCTCTTCTTCCATCCCCTCTCCAGACACCGAGACATTTGCACCAGCCCCCCTTGCCCCTATTTCCTTCCCCTCTTCCCCTCTTCCGTTCGTACCAGTGCCAGCACCCACCCCGCCTGCCCCTTTTGGAGTGTGGCAGTCGTAGTAAGCACTGACCTCCACCCCGGGAATCACGCACACTCCCACCTCCCGCCCTGCTGCCGTCGCCTCTGCCACCCCTGCCATGCTGTCATGGTCTGTTAGAGCGAGAATGCGAACCTGAGGGGTGGGTGGGAGAGAAATGTTTTAGGGGGGAGGGTGTGGTGGGGAAGACAAGAGAGGGAAAAATCATCTAGCTGCTGCCGGCCGCCTCTGCCATCCCTGCCATGCTGTCGTGGTCTGTTAGAGCGAGAATGCGCACCTGAGGGGTGGGTGGGGGAGTGGACGGTGGAAGGGGGAAGGGAAGAAAAGGAATGGTGCTCCTGCTGCTGCCGCCCCTGCCATCCCTGCCACGCTGCCATGGTCTGTTAAAGCGAGCATCCGCACTTGAGGGGTGGGGGAGTGGAAGGGGGAACCATGCCATGCCACAAGGCGATAGATGAGTGGAGGAGGGGGAGACTCCTGCCGTTGCCTCTGCCACCCCTGCCATGCTGTCATGTAAAAGGGATGCGTACCCCTGCCATGCTGTCATGTAAAAGGGATGCGTACCCCTGCCATGCTGTCATGTAAAAGGGATGCGTACCCCTGCCATGCTGTCTGTTAAGGGAGAATGCGTACCTGAGGGATAAAGAGTGGGAAAGGTGAAAGGTGAAAGAAAGCTGTGGGAACGAGAAGAGAGCGGAAACTCCTCTTGCTGCCATTTGAGTCGACTCAAAAGTCACCTTGAGTCGACTCAAAAGTCACCTTGAGTCGACTCAAAAGTCACCTAGGAAACTCCTCTTGCTGCCATTGCCCCTGCCATGCTGTCATCATGGTCTGTTAGGGCGAGAATGCGCACCTGAGGGGTGGGTGAAGGGGGAAGGGGGAATTAGAAAGACAAGGAGCATGTGGGGAAGAGCAGAGGGGGGAAGCTGCTTCCACCACTGCTGCCGTCGCCCCTGCCACACACACCTCCCATGCTGTCAAGACATGAACCAACCATCAGAGATGCCTTCTGAGTCAACTCAAAAGTCGCTTCCACCGCTGCTGCCATCGCCTCTGCCGCTGCTGCCATACTGTCATGAACCATCAGAGAGAGAGAATGCGGAAGAGTGGTGAAGGTGGAAGGTGGAAGGATAAAGGGGGAAGGGGGAAGATGGTGTGGGGAAGAGGAGGAACGGGTAACTCCTCTTGCTGCCGTCGCCTAAGCCGCTGCCGCCTCTGCCATGCTGCCATGGTCATTCAGGGCGAGAATGCGCACCTGACGTGTGGCATGGTGGAAGGTGAAGGAAAGTGGAAGGAGAAGGAAATGAGGGGAAGCGGGGGGGGGGGGGGGGGGGGGGGGGGGGGGGGGGGGAAATGAATCAGGGTTTCGGGTGTTAAGGTATAGTAAATGCATAATGCATCAGATTTAGGGTTTAGGGAATGCATTTCTAAAGAGAGTGCCGACTTGCGGTCTCCCAAACCGGCTGCCTACTCCTAAGAGTCACCTAATCCTCGGCTGGCCCCTGTGAGCTGCTGGCGAAACAACCTGTCTGTCGGTCTCAGGTGCAACCTTCCCTAGGTGTCGCCTGCCCCATGATAGCCTACACCATGCGCCAGATATCACCCACCCCTAGCGTCGCGGCTCGTCTGACGACCTGAGCTGGGGAGAGCGACCCGTCGCTACACGTGCTGTGGCAGTGGAACTCCACGAGGAGATTGCCCGTTTGGCTGCCCGTTTTGTTGCCCGTTTTGCTGCCCTGCCGTGCTAGATCACCACCACGGATGCCACCGTTGCTGCGGGCGTCGAGTTTCGCTAGAGAAGCAGCGACATCTGTACCCAAATCGCTAGCGTCGGCATGTGCGGCTTCTAGGGATTGCCGAGAAAGTTCCTCCGCGGCCTCTAGGGATTGCCGCCGGAATTCCTCCAGAAAGTCGCCTGCGGCAACGTGCCTCTTTTGCGCCGCCCTTCGCTTACTCTTGTTACCCTTCGCCATACCAAATCGAAATATATTATTGTGTAATCTTCGCTGGTACAACCTGGTGCGCGAAAGAACGATATTCACGACAAGTGAGGGCAGTGATTGTTACCAATTTGTTCCTAACCGTGATGCTCATTCTCCGATAGCTGACCGAAGTGGACAAAATTGCGCTAGCCTTGCGAAAATCAATCCAGTGTTTAGGATGCGTTATAAGCCGCACTTCTGATTCGAATGGTGGCAGATAATCGTGGATAATGGTTTCAGTAACTCAACTGTAGCAGAAATAATTGCCCGGCACCTTCGCCGTCAAACACGGCAACGACGAGCCGAACCGCCCCAGCGCCAGAGAAACGCGATTCCGTACAAGTCGAGCTGTCCCACCACGAAATCCGTGCCATCTTATTCGCCAAATCCATACTGTTACAGAGTGTCGACAAGCTTCTGTCGCATCCTACACCACGTAGGCAATCAGCTTCGCCACACGTCGTCATCGAGTGCTGCAATGCAGCTCTAAAATTTTCCAAGTCGTTCAACCCAGTTTCGCTGTTATGCTTGGTTCCGAAAGTTCGCTCATCTTCGCGTTTTATCGACTTAGCCCGTTTCTTCTCGTGTGAAAAGAGCACAACTGCCAGCCTCCCCTCACAAATCACGAGCCACATCTCCACAGCTTCTTTCTCGTTGTGCTTTCTCCCCACTTTACCCTAGAACCAGCGCGCTCACACGAACTATATAAGCATAGGCCTGACGTCGTTAATTCCTCCAGGTAGCGCAACCAATCAACGAAGGCTTGGTTGGCTATAAAAAATCTTGACAAGAAGTTACGGTAAGACATCTCCTCTTTCTATATTACCGACTCCAGTCACAGCAACGAGCTATAACGATCTTCATCGACTTTGTCCTAAATTTGTTATGCCATTTTCTTTCTCTTTTTTTTTGTTTTTTTTTTTTGTTTTTTAGCAACGCGCTATATTCTGCTGATGTATCCCACGATAATTGCGTACATTTTTTCCTCCGTATTCCTCCTCAACACCCCCGTCAGCAGATGGCGATTATTGTGTACCCCGCAGAGGACAAAACCACCAATAAGCTCAGGATTGTCGCGCTGACATTGTAGATCGTCATAGGCGTCGAATCCCTCATCCTCCTCATTATCTATGGCTGTCGCGCTCTCGGAGCGAGGGACGTCGAATCGCAAAAAACTCTATCATTCATTATCATTGCAGGCCTCTCGTCCCTCATCCTCCTTAGCGTCTCTTGCGTTTGCATTAACGCAAAGGCGGCGGTAGACCCAGTCATCCTGCCTTCGGACATTGAATCGCGAATAACTCCGCCTCCCGAGCCAACCAACCCGGCGAGAAAGGCACCAGCAGACAATGCGGCGAAAGTACCTGCCTAGGTTCACGCAGACAAAGAAGCCGATCAAGGCGACATTTTTGTAATGTACGGACGATGTTCGTCGTGAAGTATTGTACGAATGTGGGGTTGGGGAGAAACCAGTACGGGGAACCACCAACATATACGTCACAAATCGATTTTTGCATCTTTTGGCGCTCGAGAAGTAATAAGCTCCCGTGCCAGAAACGTGGGAAGCAGCATTCATGCTTCTCATGCGGGAAGTGACTTTTGCGTAGATTTGTGTTTTTGCGCTAATTTAGTACATCAAGTGAATGATTTTGGACTTTGGCTTCTTTTCAGAATATTTGGAGCATTGCTTCATGTAACCGCAATCAAAACATAAATCATTGTCGTAGCCGGAACGATACTGACAAAACGCTGGCCGTCAATCACGGCAACGCCGAACCGAGTCGCCCAGTACGTTCGCTACAAGCCCCACCGCAAGCTGTGCACGAAGCTGGATTTTTTTACAATTACCAGTCCTCGAACGAAAAGCTCCTCTTGTTTCCAGTCGATCCTTCCACCACCTTCATGTTAGAGGGCCCTACGACAGCAAGGGCCCTCGACGATGTGCATTGACTTGGCAGGTCGATGAACGACCAAGACTATACGCGGCCCTGCACCGACCCTATGACGTCGAATGACTATGACGGCGCTAATGAAGTCACTGCTGGGTGGTGCTAGCTTAAGGAGTCGTGGGCGTGCTTCTTGGGTGGTCTTGGTAGTTGTGGGTGATTCTCTGTGAGTCTCGCCATTTCTGGTGTGCTGGGAGAATTGGCGAGCCCGGCATTGACTTCCCTGCTGAGTTGGGTTGGGAAGTTGACGAGGCGCGTTCGCTCACTCACACACCACTTTCGTGGGGTTGGGTTACTGCGCAGCGCCACGGCAACTTTGTGAAACCTCCCCGTAGCCTATATCTATCTTGTGTGTTTGTTTTTGTATTCATAGTTGATATTACAATTCTACTTGGTTTTCTCACTTAGTCATTTGAGACCAACGCTACCCAAACGCTACCGAATTACTGGCACAACATCAATTCCCATAGCCGAAACTCTCTCGCCGTCGTAACGCTCTCCATAGTATTCCTTCACTTCAGAATCTGCCACTCGCCAGAGAACTGGACGAAAGTTTTCTGCAAACCACCGACACAGCCCAGTGTTAGTGCAATCTCTCATGAACGGTTTTTCGTATTATTTTTCCTCAGTTTCTATCGCCTAATAAGTAATACAGCCCGTATGATCGTGTCCAAGGGAAAGACCATTGCTCGTTTTCATCGGCTAGAATCTGCCTAAGTTTTCCTCACCAGCCACACCCGATAGATGAGCGCTCACATAGAACTACTAGTACGTATTAGACCAATCAGCAACAGCTGTTGTATACTTGCATCACAAGTAACAGTAACCAGTACTGATACCCAAGGGAAGTTTGAAACGGCAACGAAGAATCAAGCGTCGTGTTGATGGTGAGATTCTGATGACACATCGTTTGCTCTTCGTCTTCGTCTTCATTCGTATTCGTGTTTGATGGCCTCCTCAAATATGACTCTCTTTGCGTCTCGTGATTACCGATGCTACTTCTTTGTCAGAATGAGGAATGGATGATGCATTGATGTTGGTTGGGGTACATATAGCTAACCCTAAGTTTTGTACCCCCTAAGACAAACCTCACTATAGGCTACAACATTTGACACACCCCAATAGCCTAAGTGAGGGGTGTCTAGCATAACCAAACGAGTACGGTCACAAGACCAGTCCAAGAAACGAAGCTCAGGGTGGATCACAACGTCACCACACAGTCTGAGCACAAACAACAGTGGCCACAAGGCCAGTCCAAGAAGTAACAGAGGTATATAGAAAGCAAAATAAACAGTACACTCAAGCCTAAGCAACACGAGAACCAGTGTCAACAAGGCCTAACTGCACACAGCACCTCTGGTGGTCACAAGGCGGAAGCGCCTTGGTGAAGATGTCTGCAGTGTTGGCCTCGGACTCCACAAACTCAAAGCGAGCCTGTCCACGCCTCTGCAACTCTCGCAGAAGAAAGTACCTGACGTGAATGTGCTTCACTCTGCTCTCCAGTCGTGGCTCTCGACAAAGGAGAATAGACGCCTTGTTGTCAGTGAACAAGGTCGGTGCAGAGCTCGGCCGCTCACCAAGGTCGGTGAGCAAGAAGGTCAACCAACGCAGCTCCTGTGCCGCCATGGCACCAGCGTAGATCTCAGCCTCAGCTGTAGAGGTCGAGACCGAAGAGGAGCGCGTGGACCGCCAGGAAACAGCTCCAGAACCCAGGCTGAAACAGTACCCCTGAGTAGACCTGTGAGTCTCAGCGTCGTCAGCGTAAGAGGAGTCACAGTGACCAGTAAGTACGACAGACTGCTGCCCTCCAAGAACTAGCCCCACGCCTGACGTCGTCGCTAGGTACTTCGCCACCCTCACAGCTGCTGTCCAGTGAACAGGACGGTGTCTCCCTGGCGCAACAAAGCGCGCAAGAACGCTGAGAGGGAAGGCGAGGTCCGGGCGAGTACAAGTCATCAGGTACATGAGGCAACCCACCAGCTCTGCGTAGGGACCACTAGGCTCGAACGGCTCGTCAGGAAAGGGTCCAGTGAGTCGGTGGTCAACAGCAAGAGGTGTGCGCTGTACTGTGGAGTGCTGAAGCCCGAACCGCTGAAGGACCTGCTGCACCATGTGCGACTGTGAAAGTGTAATGGTGCGAGCAGCTCTGTCCCTGGTGATCTGCAGGCCAAGGTAGTGGCGCAGCTCACCAAGATCAGTGCAGGTGTGTCTCTTCTGCAGTTCGGACTTCACGTGTGCCAAAGCAACCCTGTCAGGGGTGGCGAAAACAAGGTCGTCAACGTAGACCAGAACAAAGAAAGGTGTGGGGCCACGACGAACGAACAGCGACGGGTCAGCAGAA